GGATTAGCTGGGTGAAATGACTGTCAGGAAATGTAGTGTTAGATGCAGTCTGGTATCCACCAAACATAGGTCATCCCTTATAAGGAAAAATTTCCCTTTCCTCTTTCTAGAACAATCTGTCTCATGACGCTCGTTCCCAGCAGCCCTTAGGTTTCGGGCATCTGTCTGGATCTGGGGTTCTTACATGATAAACAAAAAACATATGCAGTGATGTTGTACGTTATTTGACGACTACATCCCTGGAGTCTTTAAACATAATTCAAAATTCACCTATTTCAAGACTAATACCAACAACAGGTAGGAGGAAGCTTTGTTTACCAGATGAAATGAGTGTCCCCTGTAGCCCTGGCATAAATTTGGTTTACAGTTCACTTGCCTCCTTCAGCTCTGAGATTAAATCATGTGATTGTTGACAAACTTTTAATTTGGGGAAGGGTTAGAGTTGCATTATTTCAAATTTTGTCTCAATGTATTTTATGTCACATTATACTGAATTCACATAATTCAAATCTGCACGCAGTGTGGTGGCTCTGTAATTTGGTACAGTGCTCTAATGACCTCACCTTCTATAATGCCCCAAATTTCAGGAGCACCTTTGGTTTCAATCAGTAACATGTCCACTGTTAAGTGTATCCTATTTAGCAAATGCATAAGAAGGCGCCCAGTAAAGCTAGAATACTTTAGTGTACATTTCATCTTGACCCATCTATGGAAAATTCTGATTTTTAGAAACCTAGGCACTTGTGTCTGATGACTGTGTCTTGTTTTCACATCGGCCAACTTAATGGGAACTGGATGAAGAGTTTTTGTTTTCATGCTATGCCAGTTTGTCAGCTGGGAAATGAGTTGCTCTGTTTTTGGTGACGGGGTGAATGATACAAGTCAAGGGGGCAGACCTCGCCCCGTCAAGAGATAGGTGTGCTTGTCAGTTTCAAGGAAGGCTTCGTAGTGAGGTAAGCAAAGCCAAGGGGCTGATGGAGAAACACTGGAATCACCTGGAAGAATCTGGACTGTCCACAGCAGACCTTTGGATTCCTCATGCTCACATTTGCCATTTAACCAAGGCCCCGGGAAGCCCACTCACCATCTCAAAGTCACACAGCTGTGAGGTGTGAGGCCAGACCAAGGTGGGCTTTTTTTTTTGCATCCACAAACAACCCGCTTCCTCCTTTGAGGGCAAGCCTTTAAACTGTTTTGTAAAGGAGCCTTCTCCTCTTGTTTTCTGTAGTTCTCTTTTTCTATCCATATCTTTTAATCTTACTTTCTAAAAACAGTTTTCAGGGCTAGACCTACAAAATTCATTTTTTTAAAAAGGAATGATTAGGTATTTTTGTCAAACAAACAAATCCATTGGCCTTTGAATGAGGTATAGAAAAGTAGTACACTTCAAAATGAACTGGCTGCGCACAATAAACTTAAATTTGAAAAAACAGAACAATAGGAAAATTCTTAGATGAACATACAGGTTCCAAGTGGAATACTCTTTAATGTGGAATTACATGAGCATGGCGTAGATGAATTATGGCATAATTTCCTAGATTCCTCTGCCTGTATCTTTGGTTCTAGTTGAACTGTCTCCTCCAATTTTGTCTCACCTCTATTCTTTTTTTGTGTCTGTGTAGGTTTTAGGGTGACCTCGCCTAACATTGCACTGGGAACTTAATAAATGAAGCTACTACTTCTTATTCTTGGTTATTCATGATTTTGCATATATGGGTCTTATCAATTCTTAAAACAAAAATAATCTCTTAGAGTAATCTGGAGGCGCATAGTCTGCCAAGTACTTTCTGCCTATCTGAGTCCACTCAATCCTCACAGTGGCCTTCTGGCTTAGACTGAATAAATACCACCCCCTTTATAGGGATAAGTAGCTTGAACCACGAGACATTTTGCAGCATGCTAGGGCAGGAGAGCTGAGATCCGTCCCACATCACCTGATTCTCTGCTCTCCGTTCTTTCTCTTTAGCCACACAGCTTCTCCCTAGGGTCATTCCACTTCTTTCCGGTCTGTATGAGGGGCCTTGCACACGTCCACACAGGGGTATGATCTGCAGCAGCATTCTAGCAACTGCCATCACAGGCAGCACCTGCTCTTCCCCTAATGGTATAACTATTTGTGTCTTAATCCTCCTCTCCAACCCAAGCCCAGTGTCCAAATGGCGACTCATTTAAACCCAGACCTCAGTCATGGTCAGCAGGATGGGTACACCCTTGCCATCGTGCCTCCACCTCTTGCAGCTTGTTAACTCGCTGCTCTAACAGAGCAGCTTCACACCACCTCCCGACCAGACCCGACTGCCGGCAACACATGCAGGCTCTTCTGTAATTAAGTATTGATTTCATGTAATGTGTGTGTACGGAGGAAGCTCATCTCATTTGCGGGCTGCTGTTATCTGTCGGTAGAACAAAATGTGTGATTATCAGTGGATATCCTATGGCTATCTATGGCGAACTGTAACCTCTAATCCATCTAATTGTAGTGACATTACGGTACGCCATGCGAGAGTGGATTGTTTGTCTTAACGTGACCTCTGCTGCTGTTGGCCTGCTTTTGTGCCCAGAAATAGCTGCACAGATTCTTCATTGCAACTCTTTCTTTGTTCCAATTTGGCTCTGCCAGGAAGAAAACTAGCAAAGTCCATTTACTATGATGTCTCGTGGCTGTGACTTCAAATAAATGGAGGACCGCATATTATTTGTTTTCTGCTTTCTCTCTAGCGGTCACACCTCGTGACATTTTTTTCAGTAACCTTGCTATTCTCAGGAGAAGAAGACAAGAAATTTTGGATGGAGACGAAGTTTACATGATTAACGTCTTCAGGAAACGCTGGTGGGTTCTTGAGTGTGCCGTCACCTCTATCCCGCATTCACAGGCCCCGGGGCCGAGCTGAGATTGCTCTGCTTTGTAGATTTGATGAGGCAGGGATATTGAGGGGAGAATCCCTCTTGCCTACTGCAGGAAGGAGAGCCTGAGGACCTGGGACCTGAGTCTCTCTTCATTGTGTGCTTTCTCTTTCCATTTGACAGCTTCATCTCGACTGAGTCACTGGCTGTCTTGATTAGGACTTTTCTCCCAACAGTGGGATGGGAGTTTCTAAATAAAGATATGAGCTATTTGTGTAGGTGTCTCTTGCCTGTTTGGAGTTTTCCATCATACGGTAGGCGGTTGGATGGAGTAGCCTGTGTAGGTGGTGACTTTTTCTATCCCTGCTCAAAATACTGTCCCGGGGTATCAGGAAATGAACCAATTAAGAAGTCTTGTCTTCAGGGCTGGCCCTGTCTCCTTTAACACAGCAACCTCTCTCTCGTGTGCCGTGCTGCCTAAAATTCCTTCCATTAGGTGTTTCTTTCCTGCTGCCCGGTGAAGGGATTAAAAGCACAGTAATTTCCCTTGAATGTCCTCCTTTCATACATTTCAGCAAGGGGTCTTTTAGGGACCATATTGACAATAATATTGCACAAATCATGGACACTTCTTTTGGTAGTTCTAAGTGGGGAATGGAGAAGAAGATTTGGGCTTTGGGGTCGGAGAGATCTGGGTTCTGATTTCCCAGTATATTTTTTTTAATACTGAACAAATAAATTTCTCATCCTCTCAGAGCTTCAGTCTTCTCATCTAAATAATGTGGGCATAACAAGGATCTAGCAGGTCATGAAGACTGAGTAGGCAGTACTCATAGAGTCATCTAGCTCGGTACCTAACACTGGTAGACTGAGGCATCCTGCCATCCACCACACTGCCTCGTCCACTGAGCAGACGTCATTCTGAGTCAATTAGAGCTCTGTCAATATAGACCTTTCCCAAAGTTTAATTGTGTTTCTTTCATATGGTCATTTGAACTGTCTACAGAGTGTTTCTAAGACAGTACCTAGACACCTGGCCTATTGGAGAATGTCCTGAATGCTTGTTCAAAAGGGTCCATCCAGAGGTGAAAGATGAAGCTGGTGAGAATCATCTTAAGAATCATCTGGGCACATGCTAAATCTGGGCAGATTCTAGGACCCCACTCCGCAGAATCTGATTCAGTATGTTTGAATGAGGGGCCCCTGAAATTTGCATGATTAATGTGCTCCTCAGATGATGATAATGTTTTTGGGCCTGATTTCAAGAAATACTTTTGCAAATATGTCAGCAGAAGAACCACTGGACATCTGAGATTGTCAGCTAGGAGAGGGCCACGCATAGGGGACAAGACGGTAGCCTTCCAATTACCAAATACGTGTTACGGGCATGATGTGATTCGTCCTGGAGCCCCAGGGGTCACAACAGAACCTGATGGGGAGAAATTCCAAGGAAGAAAATGTTGGCTTAATATAGGTGTTTTCTAAAAATGAAAGCCATCTGAGGGTGGAATATACTACCTCCAAGGGTAGTGAGCCCACCAGCTTAGGAGAAACTCAAGTTTGTCTGAGTGGCCTCTGGGAATTTTACATAGAAGAAATTAGCTCATGCTCTCATCCCCTATGGTGCTTAATGACATTTATTGTAATTGTTTACCTATCGGTCTAGTGCATTCACTCTCACAAGTGTTCATTATCCATCTACCTGGAGCCTGATTCTGTGAAGATGAAGCACAGAAGTGCTGCGTGAATCCAGCCAAAGGTGTGAATTTAACAGATGCTGTTGTTAGGAGAGAAGGAGCTAAGCTTCCATTTCCAAATGGGAGAAGGCAGTAGGCGTATCAGGCAATGAGAAGAGAGGGGAAGATTATCCACTGGAGGAAGGGAGAGGGAGTGGATCAGTTTTTCTTTGAGAAGAAAGGGTCTTTCAAACCAGCATTTTACACGGTAAGTGAAGCTTTCATTTTCTTCCAAATGGGTATCCATTTTTCCACCTTTCTCTTCAGAACTATGAAATTCCAGTTGTCACTTGGAAATAAAATGATTATTAAACACTAGTTTTCTCGGTTCCACATGCATCATTCCTTCTCCCTTTAAATTTGTGGTCACCGTTATTGTGCATAAGATGTACTCCCCCGCCTTTTTTTTTTAACTCCAAAACTTCTTAGACTATGCCCTCTCCCTCTTACTCTCCCAAAGGAAGAGAAAAACAATCATCGCTGGCAAACGGCAGTTGCAGCGAGGCAACACCAAAGCCAGCTTCACACTCAAGAGAGAACCCTGCCCCTCCTCCTTGTGGAAGACGCTCCCCTTTTGATTTTCTACAAACTTTTATGAGAAATGTTGTTTGGAGCAAGTAGGAGACACTGAATAGTTTCCCTCCTGCTAGGATTTCAGAGTAATAGCACCATTTTCTAGAGTCTACACTCAGTTTCTGTTTCAAAGCTAGAAGTCAACTATTCATACCAAGATGGCATTAGATGTCTTTAGAATTGGGTCACCCAGGTGACATTTTGTTAAAAGCTTACATAGGTCAGTTATTAGACCCAGAGTTTTATAATTAGCTGACCTCAGATGCCTTGTTAATCCTCATGTGTGGGTTCATGTGAAGTTGTGGCTCGATTTGATGGTTCTTTGTTGTACCTCCTTTCCCTAATACCTTGATGGTTGCTATTTATTTGGTATTTTAAAAATTTTCCTCTTATTGACATATAGATCCATCTATCAAAAAGTCATAAGAATAACTTGATGTATGAATGTTCAGAGTTTCTTCAAATCCCAGTAGAGTGAGATTCTCTAAAAGTTCTAGTTTTGGAAGTTGCCATCAGCAGCAGATTTTGCTGAATAGTACTATATATGTTTAATAATAAGATTTCCATTTTTGGTAAACTATTTCTTGTGGAAGTATTCTCTGTGATGCTGAGGTTATAGAAAATATCATTTTTCTGTCACTGTTGGTGTTCTTCAGACCCTCGTTTTTAAATGGATGTGCTTTTGGAAACCTAGATGGTTATCTACATCAGAAAAACACCTTATCCTGGGCCGCATCAGGCGAATTGGACAAAGCAATGCAATTTAGTTGGGGGGAAATGGTATGTAATACGTTTTATAAGAGCTGGCTTCCAATAATAACCATCTGACCCCTGTGATCCTGTGTTTTCAATTTTCCTTTTAAGGAATACAACCAGCAATGCTGCTAAGGCATACTTCTCTGTCAAGTGTTCACCGATTTGTGAATTGTTGGACAAGTTTTCCATCTTCAGTGTTAGAAGACAAACATCAAACACACTTTTCTCTTAAAGTGTCTTCTCACGCAGCTGTCTCATGGCATGTGCTAAACTCTGCATTTGTATTTGTATTTGTAAAG